AAAAAAAAAAAAAAGGGAAAATTAATTTTTTAGTCAGCACTGGGCTAAGAAGTAGCGGTGCTTGCATGTGACATAATAATCAAGAAAAGGGTAAAAGTCGTATTATCAAATCCAAATGGTTAATTTGGTAAGTTATATTTAGTTACAAATGTTTAGCAAATTAGATTTGACGGTTTTAATGTATAAGTAATATTATATAGTACGATTGGTGTTTAGCATGAAATCACGTAAAAATTTGGAGTTATTTGATATCATTTTAGATGACATTAACCATAAAACTTATATTTCTACATTTAACTGAATATATCATTTTTTCCCTTCGTTAAAATGGGGAATGATGTTAAATTGCAGTAGTGTTACATATATATTTTTGAGTGGTATAACGTTGACTTTTTTACATCTTTATCTTGTGTGTGTTAATTTGTTGAGTTCAATATATCGAAAAGTGAAAGAGATTATTATTAAGCTTGAAATCACATGTGTGGGTTATATTTCTTAAGCATGAAGAATAATAAATAAATGTAAGTACAACGTATTGATTAATGATTCCACATTCGTTTGAATGCCTATTTTAGCGCCTAAAACTGAGCCAAAATCTTCCTTGTGCTACTACAAAGCCTGGATAATATATCTTGATTTCTTCGTTTGGTGCATACTTTTAACTTAGTATGGACATGAAAGGAGTATCGTATGACATGCCTAATATGTTAAATTAAAGTCTCGTTTGGTACCAATTTTTTTCAAATATATTTTTCTCTCTTCTTTTCAATCACACATTTTTTATTAAATAATATTACACGTAAATTAAAAACTTTTCCTCATTTTTCAATCACACATGTCTTATCATTTTACTATTTTAAAATGCATTTTTACATGAAAATGAGTCTCAAACACCCTCTAAATAATTTTAGACGAAATACTAGATACAAAAATTTATTCGTCTTCATGTTATACATAATACTCAAGTTTCATATTAAACATGTCTTAAAAAGCTAATATTTACACTTTTTAGTAGAGATCGAGCAATTTCAAAGTTATTCTGGATTTGGACATAACCCCTATTTAGGTTGGACAAAAATTAAATTTTTAGTAGATTTTTATAAAAATTAGTGAAATATATATAGGATTGAAAGGTTTATAAGTCTTATTGAGCCCTTGTTTGAGCCTAATTTTTTTCATCAAAATATATTCTTTAACAGTGATTTGACATCATTTCAACAACACGTTTTTCAATAAAAATAATATTACAGACAAATCCAAATTTTTTTTCTTTATTTTAAACCACATATTTTCTATCATAACAATATTTCAAAATTATATTTTTCTAGAAAAATGGGGCTCAAACAATCCCATGTGGGGTTGAGAATAAATTAGGAAAAAAAAAGTCTCAAGAAATGGGGACTAAACAAGGACTTAGTTTTTTATTTTTTATTTTTTATTATTATCTTTTTTTCTGTTCTGGGAGAGGCATTCGACGAGGAACACGAATGTCAAAATACATGTGGATGGCTAGAAGAGTTAGAAGGTAAGGTTACATACTTGAAACTTCCAGAGATAAAAACTTCTGATTATGAATATAAAATGCGTGCTTGGTGTGATTAAACTATGTAGCCACTGTTTGGGCGCCCTCCCAAAATCATAATTAAGAATCCGAACGTTCTACGATCAACGGGCACCACTATGCCAACCATTTTTGACTGCTTTATCTGCAGTCAATTAAAAATCTTGAGGGAAAGACTGTGATGCTTCTAACTTGTTACATTTAATATTCTCAAGCAGGGCAATTTTCGTATTTCAAAATAGAAAATGACGAACATCAGGTTGTTTTTTTTTTTTTTTTTTTTTTTTTAATATTTTGTATAATTAATAATTATTTAAAATATACAAATTCCTAATTAAAAATATATTAATCAGAGAGACTTGCTTCTAATATTTCAAAGGTTGGAAACAAAAATAAGACAAAAAAATTAGTTAGGTATCGAATGAGAATCACAACTTTTGAAAGGTTAAAATAAATATGCAAATCATCTTCAAAAGAAAGTGAAACCCAACACCAAACTAACGATTATATTGAACAGAATCCATCCAAAATGACTAACATATAAAGAATATAAAAGTTTGAGACAACTGTGAGCAAATCCATCAAGAAAAAAAGTAGAACGACATTTCATCAACCATCTTCCTTTACATAAAAAATAAATAAATTATGAATAATTTATTTTTCACAAATCAACAAAAGCATTTTTATAAATAGTTTAAAGTATAAATAGATAATATCATTGATGATAAATAAATAATACTCAAGAGTTCTTCATAATATTTGAGTTAGTTTTTATAAACATGAACCAAAGTCAAAAGCTAAATGAATCGACGAATTGAATAGAGGACGAAAAACATGTATCAACAAGTAGCATTCAATATCACAATAAAATTCTTAAAATAAACCTCTGTTCAGGGTCTAAAGAATGAGACATGCTATATAGACACCTCGGTGTACATATCCCCTCTTAAGAATAGGGGCCCATGATTTTTTTATTCGTCGTGAACCTCCGTCCTGTGAGAGGGCTTGTATACCAGGGTGCCATTGTACAAACAGAAAAATCCCTAAAGAATTGGTATACTCGAAACCAGGAGATGACAACTAAGGAGCTAACATAAAATGTGCAAAATGCATGACAATTTTTCAAATATAAAGCTGAACAAACGTTAGTCAGGGATCAATTACCAATTCTGGAGCTCAAACACGTAAAAAATTAAGCAAATCACAGAGTTACTAGTGTTATAGTTCATCCTGTGAGAGGGCTTGTATACCAGGGTGCCATTGTACAAACAGAAAAATCCCTAAAGAATTGGTATACTCGAAACCAGGAGATGACAACTAAGGAGCTAACATAAAATGTGCAAAATGCATGACAATTTTTCAAATATAAAGCTGAACAAACGTTAGTCAGGGATCAATTACCAATTCTGGAGCTCAAACACGTAAAAAATTAAGCAAATCACAGAGTTACTAGTGTTATAGTTCACAACCGAATAAAAATAGCAATCCTATATCACCATATGGGAAAAGGTGACCAGAAGCACCTCTTCGCCTCCCACGCAACTAGTTTTGTAATTATCAGTTTATGCAGTGAATCACCATTATTATGCAAAGGATGACCATTATCCAAGACAAGAATTAAAGAGAGTACATGTGAACTCTTTGAGAGCATAAACTTAAAACTTTCAAATCATTTAACATGACAGGGCGGAGCCAGGACTGGATTAAAAAATCTTTAAAACCAGGCTAAATTCCGCCTCCATAACATGGAATTTACTAGAGTTTGGCCCCTGCAACCTATTTATGATATATTGTGCATGTGTAGAGACTTTCATGTACCCACGAGCCCATTAAGAGTTAGGCTCATGGGTCGGTTCATACTTGTGTCCGGAAACAAGCCCAGCTGCCCATGGGCCGAGAGTCGACGAGCTACTCACTTTTTTTGCCACCTCTTAAACAACACCATTCTCATCCCTTTGGAGTCTGGGGATAAAACAAACAAGGATTTTGCCCTCAGGATTGGAATGAATTGAAGGCTCTGAAAGAGTCCAAAGTATTAAGTAGCTACATAATACTCAAAAGCTGTCGATTTATAGAAATTGACAGGTCTTAAAAGCAAAAGCTTCCAAGATCAAGTTGCAGAAAAATCAGACTTTATCTCGGGAACCACCCACATTAACCACAGCGACGTGATAGCAAAGTCTTCAAAATGGAACTGCTTTTCATCTGATTTGAACTGAAACGACCTTTTTCCAGAAAATGCAGATGAATTATACACAGTACACACCAATTCATTAGAGTTCTATAATATTCTAGTAGTTACTCTAGAAATCTACATCAAATCCTTCTCTATAGTCTATATACTAGTAAATGCACATTTGGGTCCAGAAAACAAACAGTCCATGAACTTTACCCTTCGATCATATATCTGACGCATGTTTGGTATAGAATTTTCACATCAAACAATCAATTTTTTGACTATCATTTCACTCTTCTAGCCATCCTTTTTTACTTCTTTTCTCACAGATTGAATCCAAATTTTTTCTCTAATGATAAAAAATTCAATTCTCAAAATCACTACCAAACAAATCCTTAAAGTTACATCAACCATAGCCTTCATGACCATAAACTCAAAAAAAAAAAAATATGTTGAACCCCAACCTTGAGGACCCCCACAGCCCAACTCCTAGTGCTTTGTGAAGAAGGTAAATCGCGGGATATGTCCCAACAGGCCAGAGAACAAGAACTGTCCGTACACTGCGCCTACAAGGACTTCATGACCATAAACTCGCTCCATTGTCAAGCTGCTCATCAACACTAAAATTTGTAGGAGAATTGAATCGATTTTTAAGAATGTAGCCCTACTATGGTGTTTGTTTTAATAGCATACAAACATAGTTTAGAAGTCATGTTTGATGTCTATCATTTGCCCTATCAGCAATCCCCAGAGTTTTGACTAACTCATGGAAGAAGAGGGAAACATAATTCTTGGTTTGATGTTTACTAATTTGGAACAAACTTCAGTTAAATGATGGATTTGGAACAAGGAGTGGCCTTTCTGTCTATTTAACCATTAAATTTCAGGCAAATTAAATCCAACATATGCCCTTAGATGTGGGACTTATACTCTTCAAGTTAACGCGAGGAAATTTCCAAACATGATAATATTGTTGGGACACTTCAAGAGACAACCAAATCTGACGACTCCAAAAACAAAAGTTATCAGCAAGAAGACAAATTGTATACAGGTAAAATTTGTTTTTAAACACACTCATCACATTCAAGACGAATTTATTTTTTTAAATTAAAAACCTAATTCATGCACAACAATTTCATGAATGGCTGGTGCCAATATGTGAACCTAAAACTTTAGTGTCGAGAATTAAATATAAGACATTTATCAGCAAACTAATCAATCGAAAAGCTTGAGCTAGTATAGATAAGATGCAGCAATTTATTTCCAATTATCTTCAACACATTATTTGACATGGTTAGTTCCAGCCAAAGTAGCTCGGAGAAGATGTAAATTAAACAGTAGTCTCATAAGATGCAGTCATAAAGACATAAAGTTTAAGGAGGGTTGGGGTCGAACAAACTAGTCAGACTCAGAAATGCGATTTACATGGAATACAAGAGCGTCAAGAAAGTCTAACCTTGATTCTTGATTCCTAAGAACTTCAAAAGCGTTCAGAAAAACTACCATGAATTAACGATACTCTCTTGCTTTCCCACATTAATTCCGCAGGCCTCAATAAGACGGTGGAGGACGCGACGGAGCCCAGAAAACATCAAGCGGCATCTGACTGTTGGGCAGCAAATTCGGTGGCAGGTTATACAAAGACATGGACGATGATGGCGGATCAGCAGCCAAACCCTGTGGCTGAGATCCTGTCCTGCCACCACTTATTCCAGTATTAACTCCTGAAGTTGGCTGTAATTGCGTTCCTTGAGTGGCCACCGGCTCCTCCTCCTCTAGAGGCAATCTTTCATATGTTGCATTTGTAAATGTAGCAGCAATTACCATCACGGGACCAGATGCTCTCAATGCACCCACTACAGTGCCGCCGACCACCTGCCCCTGACCACCTGCCAAGAACACCGTGAGTCCGGTGGCTCCTGGTGGAGATGGTGCCGGCAAGAATGCCCCGGATAACGACAATACCTCGAATCGACCTTGAAGAGTTATCACACCACCAGGTGCAGCCGCCTGGCGCAATGTAACATTGGTCACAATTCCACTGCCACTCAAAACTGAGACACCACAGCGACGGCTCTGCGCAAAGGTTGAAATCATCTCGGCAATGTCGCTGCCACTACTGATTTCCAAGACATGACTTCGAAGCGCATTAGGACTGTCTTTTGTAATCACAATTGGAGGTTTGGGCTTGTTCTTAGACCCAGGTGGCCTTCCTCTAGGCCGGCGTCCGCCCGAGCCACTACGGTCCGAGATTTCGAGATCTCCAGCAGGATTCTCACTATCTTCAGCTTCATGCTCGTTTTCTCGGATATCTCCGTCTTCGGGGTTTTGGTTGATTGAGCGAGGGTTTTGATTGGTATTGCTTCCACTGCTATTTGATGCATTGGTGGTTGTGTCCAAGAATTCTTGCTCCCTCCTCCGCCGCTGTCCACGGCGGTTCAATCCAGCATTTTCATCTTCATCAGGGTTTCTTAAGTGGAGAGACGGAGCAGAAGATAGTGACATCGAATTCATCACCGCATTTTCAGCCCACCACCTATTTGCCATCCCTTTTCAACTAAATTGTTTATCTTTAAAAAGGACTAAAATCAAATAATTCTTGAATGCACCAACCAGCACCCTTCCGTTACTCTGGGTAATAGAAACAGAAATTGCAACACAAAGTGTATGTATATGTATAGGTTAATTTTCTTGTTCAGGCCCGAAGTTCACAGTAAACATTTTTCTATTTTTGCACACCTTAAATTGACATAGTATTTTCTTCTCCAAGTAAACCCACAATCCACGGAAGCAGCAGAAACCCTAGATCTTACCCAGAAAAGGCTTTATTTAGACAGACAACATAACCCAAATGGAGATCTAAGATGAATACACTTTGAAACTGATTTCTAGCCATGTAAACCAAACCTTGAACAGTTGACCTTGCAGATAATCATAATATGTGGGAGGGCATTTATAGTACAAGTACAAACTGCTGTTTCTGTTTCTGAGCAAAGATATGGAAGAAAAGAGTTTTAGTACCTCTACAGATTCGGTTTGTACGGGGCTAGGGTTTGGTTCAGGTCCTTTGGTCTTTGGCTCTTCGGCTTAACCCTAGAAATCTCTCTATCTGATGAGGAACTGTATCAACAGTTGATCCTTAACCAGGTGTATAGCATATGATAAGAACTGAAGACTGAACAGTGTATGTGAAATGTCTACTGTTTGGCCAGTCTTGAAATGTCTAGTTTTTTATTTGCTGGTAACTGGTTTCGTCGAGGCTCAACAACCCCATACCCACCACCGCCCACCAACTTTTTGTTTATTTATTTTCTGTCAATTTTGGAGTTCTATTCTTTTTCAATTTTTATTACTGTATTCTTTTTTCTTGTGAAGTCAAGACGTAGAAAGGCATTATAAAGGAGCCAAAATTTCTGTCTTGTTTTCGTTACTTGAAACATGTATCTTAACAAATAAGATGTCAACATTTTTAAAAATTGGCATGGTTTGCCGATCATCTGTCAAAAATATAGACAAAAATATCATTTTGTTCGTTTAGCATCTGTAGACAATCATTAATGTGGAGTTTTTTCCTGAAAAAATGATATTTTAAATAGTAAATCTTTGAAGAATATGTGATTAAATAACATAAAAAAAGAAAAGAAAAATAGGTTTACATGCAACTTATTTTATTATAAATATGTATAATTGAAAATAAATAAATAAAAAAGGAGTTTCGTTTTAATAGTTGTCAAACAATAACTTAATCTTGTTCAAAATAAAATCCGAGTGCAAAACGCGAATATATGAACATAAAGATGATTGAAAACAAAAAAGGATAAATAATTATTGGAGGAAATAAAATATGTCTATTAATTTCACTGGTTTAAAGTTTAATAAAATACGAGATAGATTATTTTTTAGTTAAAATTGTTAAGGTAAATAAAATAAGTAAAAAGTGTATTGCATATTAACGAAATTCTTCCAATTGGACTTGTAAAGTATTTGTTCGAGATCATTCTTGTAAAGTTACATTACTTATAATTTTCATGTTCATATGCCAAGTAGATATATATATCTGAGTTTAAATGACTAAAATCGAAGATAATATAATTACCAAAAATGTAAAATCGATGCAGGACCTTAAATAACTGAGTTTGAAGGTACAAAATTTTTCTTGATCGAACAATTCCAGTTACTTACACGGGGAGTGGGACCCATGTAAATAAAATAATTCAAAAAATAATCCACCAATTCCATGTTAAGTGTATCATGTAAAAGGTTTGTAAACAATTTTTTTTGTTCATGAAGGGCGGCTCGAGTTTGAAATAGCTTCACGTTTTAGTCTTGCACATATGTCCCAACTATTTAATGTATTTATGCTTTAAGATAAGAGGTTTATTATAGAAGATATATCAACCACTTCAAAGATTTTTCTCGATTAAATTAATATTAATTATTTAATATTAGGGGTAAGACCTTTTTATTAGGAGAAATTCTGATTGTATAGAATTTTTGTAACAGAATAAATTCAAAAGACTCATATGGGGTGCGTCCCATTTGAGTTTTATATTGAAAAAATATAATCACCCAACCCATGAACAGTGTGTTATCTGTAGAATTATTTTCTGTAAGTGTAGTGCGTCTGTTTTATTAGTTATTAGATAGTACTATTATTAAGACTTAAGTATCTATCTATTTTAAAACGTTAAAATGTTAAGAATAATGACAAATGTTTAACATATACTACAAGACGATGGTTCATTTCATCATATCAATCTTGAATTGTTAATGCTCATTCAAGTTTAAGATGGAGGGAACTGTTCGTCTAAACTTAATGAACTTTATACTCTATTAAGACATGAGACTTCATTTCAAATTGTCAACCTATTAAAATAAACACCTTAAACACTAATAAATTAATTAAAATCAAAGTAAAATTCATCCCCATAACAATTATGTTATCAACTATGTTTTTTGTTCATATTAAAAATTATAAACTTCACGAAAGAAACAGGCATTATAAAGTTATATGGTTCGTCGCACGAACAATTTTGGTGAAATTTTCAAACGGCCACGTCACAAAATAAGTATGATGGAAAAGAACTTATAAATTACTAGTTTGTAAGGTTTCATTTTACTACGAAATGCACTAAATAACATTGCGATAAATGCAATCTTCTCTAAACAAAGTCAATTATTGATCAAATTGGAAGTCACATATATTGTCACATCACATGTCCCATAAATAAAATTTTGATATTTTTCTTTTTCTATCATTCAAATAAAATTTTTGACACTTCACCATAATTTTAAAATGCTAAAACCTCATTTAACCTGCAAGACCAAATTGTAAGAATGTGTCTAAATTTTAATGAAAAAACGACCAAAGAGATAGGAGATATGATTCTCAAAATTGACTTCTAATCAAATTTCGTGTAAAACCTAACCTGCTTCCAAATGATTAGGTTAATACAGTAGTTTACAAATATATAGAAATATATACCAAAAACAACACAAATTACAAGTCCTCTCAGATGACATATAGGTCTCGTTTGATTGGATGAATTTTCCATGGA